TAAAAAGCATGACATAAAGAACAAAGCATTTTAATGGTGTAATCCTTGAGCAATTTCCATGAAAATACATATTAAACATATGGTATAGAAAGTTGTCTATCAGCTTAGATCTTATGCGGTGATCTCTACATGTCTTGATTTGTTTGTGTTGCTAGGTTGCTGACAAAATCTGTACTTACATAATACGAATTCTCAAATTTAAAAAAGAGCGTTTCAAGTCAATAATTCTTTTTTTCAAGACTCATTGAGATTTAAATTAAGAGCATGGCATATTGCATAGAATTTTGTCAGTTGTTGAAATCTTGAAGACCCCATGTTGACCTCTACATTTTTGTACATGCATGTGTCTTTTTTTTTCTTGTTTGGTAGCTGTTCAACTGACTGTCTCATGAAGGTTAACCCACATGTTGTATTTTTCAGATGTCAGTTATTTAGAGATAAATTGCAAGTTTTTATCATTTGAACTCTGTTGTTCCTGACAATCAATTCAGACATGTTAATGGAAATTCTGTAAAACTGAGCAAAATTTAACTGGTTAAGGATGTGTATGAACTATATAGCTGATGTCTTAGTAAAAAAAAAGTTTGAATACATGTACCAAATACATGGGTATATTTTATGCTATTTTTAGCAGGCAGTTAAACAGGAAGTAAATACTCAATAAAGTTAATGTAAAATACTTAAAAGAAAAAATATTAGCAGATGCAATAAGTATATAGCAGTGCTGTTTCTTATCAATTTTCAGAGATTTCAAAGAGAAACTAACATTTTTTTCAAGTCTGTTCATGAATACCATTATCCAGATATAATTGACTTAATAACACTTCTCTTATCAGTATGATCATGATCTACAAATTTTGTAAAAGTCTTTTACTGTGTCTGTGTATTGATTATATTGGGTCATTAGACTTTTGATGAAGATTCATAGTGAACTCATTATTGATCGGAAGGTCATTGGACAGGAGACAGACAGGGTATTGCCCTTTAATAAACTTTTACCTTCACCTTCAAGTTTTGTGTTTTAATTTACTTACGCAAAAAGAAATATTATTTTTTAATTTTCATTTTCATGTACAAACATGTACAAAGACACTTTGATATTTTTACATGTAGGAATTGATCCCTTTAGACATGGGGGCACCGTTTTTAAAGATAAATAATACAAATGTATTTCATAAAATACATGTATGGGGTTTATGTAAATAAGACAGCAACCTATCAACGCCAACAAAATCTGGCACTAGCAGTTCCAGGCCTACTTTAAGCTCCTTTAAAGTTTCAAAAATGGAAATATAATACTTCAATATTGAAAAATTATTGCAAATACAGTACAAAGTCTGTATAAAATTATTTATATGGGCACATTGTTTTATTGGCTGTACAATATTATACAGTACATGTTGAACTCGTGTACATTTTTAATTATCATAAAACATGTACATGAATATGACAATACTTTACATACAATATGGGCAAGATATGATTTTTTATTCAAATAGGCCTGAACTGAAAGTAGACAAATATAATTTAATAAACTTGAAAAGTCGCTGAAAGTCTGAAACTACAACTGAACTCAATAAAATTTAAACATGTTTGGCATATCCTACTACATGTACACATATGTAGAGTAAATGATTTTAATAATTTGTGCAATACATTACACATTGAAACCATAAATAATACATGTACAAAACCTGTACATGTAGATGATTTATGTGTGTGTTTTTTTTAATTTATTCATTGTAGTATGGACAGGATATGGTTACAAAAAAAGGATCGTTTTATTTAAATCAGCCTGAACTGAAAGTAGTCAATTTTAAAACTTTTAATTTCATTTAAAAGGTGACTGCTAGTCTGTCAGCACAAAAACTACATTATAATGAAAAATTTATTGGACGTCGGGAGTATAATATGACACTTCAAGTATGAAGCCTGGTGTCTTCTTCTGACCTTGTGTGGGTGAAGTTACCAAAAGTCATATAGCCGTAATCATCTACATGATTGAGAATATTATGTCAACAATGGATTGCTGTGGTTTACCATGAAATAAAATCATAGCATAACATAACTCTAACCAAACCAACTGGAGAATGATTTATATATATATATATATATATACATACATATAATTTGTCTAAATAACAGCCCAACAATGTTAGATTTGTACATTTGCGGAAGCAAATTTTTGTTCTTCCCTGGTTGGGATTCGAACTCATGCTACTGAGAAATTGTGGCACCAAATCGCCTTGCACTATGCCCGACGCGCTAGAGCACTCGACCACCTAGGCTCGACAAAAATCAAGCTTTCGGTGGCCGGTGTTATCTTTCCTCGTCAATTTTTATCTAGGGTCGTGACACAGTACATGATATATAAGGGATGAAGATGGAATATCACAGATCAGCTGAATTATTTATATACATACAAGTACATCTATAAATATACTTGTAGATTTGAAAAATTAATAAATAAATACATGTAAAAATGTATATACAATGTAGCAATAGGCTCCTCGAGGATTTGTACCCGATTTCAAAAGATCTGCACATTATACAAAAAAAAAATTAACGATCCTGTCACGTTTTAAAAAATCCAATAAATTTATTGTTACAATTCTTCATTTTAAAAGTCAACATTTTATATCAAAGTGTGAAATGTGAAAATATCATTAAAATCTCATAGCAACAAACTTTTGTAACCATATAAAGCTTCCTTGTTAAGTGCACAAATAATAATAGTTTTGTCAAATAAAATATCTATTTTTCATACATGTACAATGTATTGATGAAAATATGATAAGCCATACTGATTATGTAACAAAGAGTATTTTTTACATGTAAGCAGATGGCATGTATATTCACATGTTAATATGCGTTTTATTAAGCCCTAGACAGAGATTTATTGAAGCAATTTCCAATATAATTTTATGCAATTTCATGCATAATTTGTAAAAACTTTTCTTTAATAGTTGTATAAGAGTACACAATGTAAAATTCAATTCAACATCGTTGCACATACATGTACATTATTGTACATGTATAATTTACAAAATGTACACATGTAAATATATACATGTATGTACCTGCTGAGTGTTTATCAACAGCTGTCAACACTATCTACATGTACATTGTACATGTATCATGACTTTTGGGCTTTTTACAAACCATAAACAATTTACTCCGTTTTGTTAAATATATTCTTAAAAAACACAGCAAATTGAATTATCATACATTCTCAATTAGTGAAAAGATATGAGAATTTTTCTCAAAAGGGAAATAACTTTTACTGAACTTGAGTAGAATCATAAAAAAAAAAGCCCAGGTCTAAACTTTCAATATCACAGCATGGTAATATGCAATCATCCACCCAGCTGACTTATCAGAAAGACATTGGAGACTTACAAATGCCATTTTGCCAAACTGAAAACAGAGTCTGAAATTGAAATGCCTTCACATCTGGTCATATGGATAAAAAATGTGGCAAAAAATGCTGAACCAAAGTCATTTTTACAGTTGTCCTATAGTCCAATGGATTTCTTGATAAACATGAACATGTGTATCTTAATCTTTTTATTCATATTGTTATCGTTAACAAAGACTATCACATACAGTCTTGTACATGTGTCTTATGACATATATGCATGCATTTCTTCGGTCATTATTATCAGCTAAACTAAGAAGAATGGTTGATCTCTTCGAGAAGAACTAAAATTTCAAAACATTGGCAAAATTGTGCAAGGTCTAGATCTACACAGAATCTTATCGTAATTGATACAAATAGGGGGCCATAGTTATCAAATCACACAATAAAAAAAAACACTAGTAGAAGATAACCAGATAAAACAAGCCCACAAAAACTACCTACACCATCAAAGAGCAAAATGAATTTCACCCAAAACCTGGGTACTCAGGAAGGGTCAACAAATTTCAGAAACTAGATTTTTGTACATTATCGTGTGACCCAATATGTATACATGTATATTAATTTGTTGCACATGTTCATTTACTTATTTAAATGTATCTGTATGTAACTTTGAAACTTTTCAAGAAACAGTGATCATGAAGGGCAATACAGAGTTTGCATACTTTTTCAATTAGAACAGAGGATCAGTGGAATACAAAATGTAACTTCACTCACTTGAAGTTACCTGTCAGATTTAACAGTGATTTCAAGGTCTTTGAATGCTTTTAAGTCAGCTTTAAGCCTTTAAATAATGAAAACTGGAAACCATATGAGTTTATGAGTTCATTTAAATTGCACACATCTAAACAATTAAGTTACTTATGAGTCTTCTTTTTAAGAATTTACCTTCTGTGTGGAGATATTTTCTCCAGGACATTCCCAAGACAGGGGTATAATATAGAAGCCTATGGCTTACTTTGATCTGAAGACAACAGTATTAAGATGTCAATTTAACCACCAGCATTGACTAGTCAAGTAAAAATGACAATCTGATAAACAGATTTACATGTAAAGTCAAAAGTGTTAGTAATGTAACTGTTTAATATGTTATGATGAAAAAACATATGCAGAGTTTGAGCACAATGGAATTATGGTACTGATCAACTCTCAAAATTATTTATGATGTGACTATACTAGTCTCCTCAAAATATTAATTACAAAAGGGGACTGGTCCCTGGGTTTGAGATGTGACTTCCCTGCCAAAAACACAATAATAACAGAGTGGAACTGGTCCCTATGGGGTTTGTGATGTGGCTATCCTCCTCAAAACAATAATAACCAAGGGGGACTGGGTCCTAGGTTTGACATTTTCTTCATGTGTTACAGGATAAATAATCTCATATAAAAAATCATTATAAAGCCTATGGGCAATTCATTTATTATAATTTTATTTTCAAAGGAAAATAAACGCTATTTTAATTTATTTGTAACTTTACATTTATCACACACCCTTTAGGTACCCCATCACAGATGTCTTTGTCCATAAAGTGTAAAACTGCAATGCGAAATTTGAGAAAATTTAGAATAAAACTCTACTTACGCATTGTTCACATCGATTTTATCATGTCTTGACGATCTTCTCCTTCTTTTTGGTGGTTCACATCCCACAGAATTCCGCTCACTACGAGATCGAAGGGCCGGGGTAGACGGTTTTGTGAATGAATTTTGTTTCAATAAGCCATTTAGTTTATGATTTTTTTCGTGAAAAACACTTTTATTTTTATTGCATTCTACAGAACTTTGGGTACATAAACAGCGATGATTTAATCCATTTTTTCTGCTATATCGTTCCAGTTTGGAGACGCTATCTTCTTGGCTTTCTTCACTATCTTGTCCACAACTTTCCATGCACCCGACCGCCGCCATCTTTGAACTCTCGCCGTGACGTCATTCATTTTCGTAAGGAATCCCCTTTTCAAAAGGGGTTTTCCCAATATGGCAGGTGCTAGATTGAATTCAAGTTGCCAAATTTAGAAAGCTCGATATCTCTGAATGGTAATGTAATGAAAATATATCATATGGTTGATGAAGTTCAAATTTTTCGAGGCATCTAAAATGTTTAAGGTTCATGTGGACCCTTCGTCTAAAATGGCTGCATTTTCACCTCAAAATTTACTCTGAGTACAGACAAACCTGTGCATCTGGAAAAGTTTTAAGGCATAGCATGCCCTAGATAAATAAAATTCAAATATATTTTATGTTTATGAAAATTAAAAACTTAACCGGATTTTGCAGTGCACTTTTTTTCATTCCACCAGAAGGTGCCAAAATAAACAAAGTTGGGAAAGAGGTTTGAGAACTTCCCCACAGGTAATAATTGAAGTGAACTGTTTTGATTGACATGGACAATAGATGGACAATAGATACCTGACAATAATTGGTGATTTAAACTGTGTACCTGAGTGGACCATATCAAGTGAAACTCAACTGTTTGTTAATTTTATCATCTTCTGCAGGGACGAAAAAAAGTGCACTGTTAAATCCAGTTAAGTTTTGAATTTTCTAAAATATACAATGCATTAGATGTTTATTTATCTAGGGCATGCTATGCCTTAAAACTTTTCCAGATGCGCAGGTTTGTCTGTCCTCAGAGTAAATTTTGAGGTGAAAATGCAGCCATTTCAGCCAAAGGGTCCACATGAACCTTAACATTTTATCAAACTGAATTGACAAATATTTGAACATGTGGAAATATTTCACAAAAACCAGTGTAAATAAAATCACACAATATATTACAAAATGCAGATTAATGAGACCTTCAACTAGCAAACATGGAACATTTATCCTGAAAAGTTATAGATTCTAAAATCAAATCAATTCACACTCAAGCAGTATGTAAAGTTCAACTAGTCGAAGAGTAGTCCAGTCCATTTGTGTCCACCAATACCATGAATACACCAATCATGCCAATCTCCAGTTATTTTTTATGAATGAGTTACAATTGGCGTAAATTATGTCATTTAACTACCGGTTCTTACTGTGACGTATTAACGTATGCATTGTGACATAGGAAATTTACGGGAAAGTGCACAGATTCGAAAGTTGTCTATTGTGACTGGGGAATAGAAATATTATCACTTTGGTCTCCGATTGGCAGTCAAACCCTTGCCAAAGTGGGGAGTCATTTTGGCTGTGCAAGATGTACAAGTACGAAGCCACGTCTGCTAGAATGGGAACGTTAATTTTGTTGTCTTGTGTAAAGAGAGTGCCACGCTCACTGCAGGTTTAGAACCCTTGCAAGAACTCTTTGAAGGGTCCGTAGGTGGCCTGTTGAAAGGCAAAATTTCTGTCCCTATCTAATATACTCTTATTTTCAAGACCTCCACCCCAGACAGCCTCTATTACAGGTACTACCTATTGTATTTATTGTTATTTTGTTCTCGTCCTGAACATCATGAACATGCATGCAATATTTGTCACTGAATATTTAGTTACCAACAATCAATCAATTAATAGTTGAGTAGTCCAAATAGTTATATGATATCTTGGTATGTTATTTTAACTTTTGCTTTGATGTCATCTTGTGTTAATAACTGATCTATAAAAATTGAAATAAAAATACACCCTCAGGAGAGGTCACTTGATATCTTGAATAGTCTGAGAGTAGTTCTTGCAGATATGAAGCATTCTTGGCATCCTATTTTGTTACCAACAATCAATCAATTAATAGACGAGTAGTCCAAATAGTTATATGATATCTTGGTATGTTATTTTAACTTTTGCTTTGATGTCATCTTGTGTTAATAACTGATCTATAAAAATTGAAATAAAAAAACACCCTCAGGAGAGGTCATGATATCTGGAATAGTCTGAGAGTAGTTCTTGCAGATATGAAGCATTCTTGGCATCCTATTTTGTAATCAAGTAACAATTCCATTATGGGAATAACACAGGAATCACTCTACTAAATTAAAGACATGCGTTAAAAACATGGGACTCACTCTAGTAAATTAAAAACATGGGAATCATTCCAGTATATTAAAAACATGGGAATCACTCCAGTAAATAAAAAAAACATTGAAATCATTTCAGTATATTAAAAACATGGTAATCATTCCAGTATATTAAAAACCATCTTCACTAGCCAAGGGTTACGATCCAGTCCCCTCCTCTCCACCCTTGGCAGATTTAGCTAACGTTTGTGATTACAATGCTGCGCCATCTAATGGCATATGAAAGTCAGGCCCATTCCGACTACATAATTCTTGACCAATGGCAGCACTTGAACAGTCTGTACCAAAAAATTTTTCAACTACTAGTCCGAAGACCAATATTAAGACATTTTTCTTATTTGTCCAAACAATGTTTTGCAAAAACTCACTAGTCCGAAGGAAATTTTACTAGTCTGGGGTATCGGACTAGTGGCTAACCGTGCAGACTGCTTGAACTGTCTTCAGTGTCGAGGTGTAAAAATGGTTATGTCTATCTAGTGTTTACAAATTTCGAGAAGCAGGAACCAAAAATATACGTTGACATTCCAACATTTCCACTAGAAACATACCCAGGAACTTCAAGTAGTTGATTAAGAACTTTAAAATTGTCATTAACTATCTTCCCATGTGTTAGGTGTAAAGACTTGTTGCACAATCAGCACTTGGCAATTGTTTATTTTTACTTTTTTTACATTTTCACGTGATCATCTTAAATAAAATTGAGAATGGAAATGGGGAATGTGTCAAAGAGACAACAACCCGACCATAATGCAGACAACAGCCGAAGGCCACCAATGGGTCTTCAATGCAGCGAGAAACTCCCGCACCCGGAGGCATCCTTCAGCTGGCCCCTAAACAAATATGTATACTAGTTCAGTGATAATGGACGTCATACTAAACTCCAAATTATTAAAGTCCAAATTTGATTGGATGCAGCCCATTATAACTGCGACCATAGGAAATCATTACCTCATGTATCCAAAATTCTATCTTAATCAGCCTAGGGTTGAGAGGAGTGGACTGGATCAAAACCCTTTGCTAGAGAAGATGATTAAAAACATGGGAATCATTTCTGTATATTAAAAACATGGGAATTATTCCAGTATATTAAAACATGGGAATACTAGATAGTAAATTAAAAACATGGGAATCATTTCAGTATATTAAAAACAAAGGAATCATACCAGTATATTAAAAACATGGGAATCACTAGTAAACTACACATAGGAACCACTTTCAGAATAATAAAGATAAGAATTGCTCTATTATTTTAAACATGGGAATCACTCCAGTATATTGAATATGAGAAATGCTCCAGTAATCAGTATACACAACAGCTACACATGGGAATTACTCCAGTATATAAAAATCATGGGAATCAATCCAGTATATTACAAACACTTTGGAGAAACATTGGATTCGAGGAACATGAGAATCGCTCCAGTATATTTAAAACATGGGAATCACTCCAGTACATTTAAAACATTGTAGGAACATGGGAATGGCTTCTGTATATTGAAAATATAGGAGGAATATTGGAATTGCTCCTTTTTATATTAAAAACCTGAGAATTGCTCCATTTATACACAAAAGCACCAATATGATTTACACAACAATAAAAAAGAACAAATAATTACTATGTGTTGTACATGAAAAAATGATAATGATAATGATAAGATAATGATAATGATAATGAAAAGATAATGATAATGATAATGATAATGATAAGATAATGATAATGATTATGATAATGATAATGATAATGAAAAGCAAACATAAAAAACTAGCTTGCTAGATTTTCTATGATGTGTAGTCATTTAACCTCCCACCCTCAACTGTAATCATGGTATTTAAAGTTTCATTTTATTTGAGAAAGAATAAAAGAGATAAACACAACTTGACAGCGGATTTCTATTTATTTAGAAGTAGCTTGGCTGATAATTGTTGATTTTGCAATATCAATCAATTAATAAATCAATCAGTTGATAAATAAATTTAACTAATAATGTAATCCAAGGTCTGATTTCTTGCTGCTTATATATCTTATCTGCATGCTCTCTGTTTTAATGTTGTGTACATGTTGTTTATATTCCGTAAAAAGGTCTCGAGAGCTTATGTTTGTACTGTTATATGTGAACCGAATCAAAGTAAAACTTTCATATTCATATTTGTGTTCTATTCTTGGTCATTTTGTAGACATTGCTTTCATTTAAATTGTTCCTTGGTGGAAATTTAGAAGACTGTAATTGGATAATTTCTAATTTTTATAATTTTAGCCACATGATGAATTTTGTATATCTAGTAATTAAACTGTAGTCATGGAGACAGATTTGCACCAAAGACCATCTCAAACTTTATCAGATGACATAGACACAGATGTACCTCTTGGTGAAGAGGCTTATGGAGCAGAAATAGAAAATAATGGTCATGTTGTAGAACCACCAAAGGTTCTAGTGGACCCAGGTCCTTTTCTGTACAACAGAAGAGTATGTGTGGTAGCCTTGCCTGTTTTTCTGCTAATGTTGTCAATGGTTGGAGAAACGTAAGAATATGTTTTTCATCAGATATAAAAATAAGAAAATGTGGTATCATGGCAGAAACCATTTTCTTACAATTTTGTGTTGGAATAAAATTACTCCGCATGCTCAGGCAGAGTTCATGATATTCTGAATATGCTATTTAATATGAGGTCTATTCTATTAGGAAAAAATGTATTGTGGGTTGGACACCACATGATATTTTTTCTGTGGGTAATGGGGGTAGAAGAAAATAGGGGATGTTCGGGGAGAGAGTTTACAATAACATTCAAATTAGTAGTGGTGGGGTATTAAAAAGTGTTTAGGGGAAAAAACTTTTGAACTTTAAAAGTTTTAGCGCTTTGAACAATAAAGGTAGATTAAAATTATAATGGAAGAAAGCAACACACAAATAAAATGATATTACCAACAATTTTATCAATTGAAAATAAGAATAGAAAAGCATACATTTGTTTCAAATCAGTACTGTGTGCTATAATATGGTGGTCTTTTTGCAATTTAATATAAAAATAAGAAGATGTGGTATGATTGGCAATGAGACAACTGTACCAGAGACCAATTGATGCTGATGTGAAACAATTCAAACAAGAAAACCAACAGCTAAATGTATGTACAGATTATATAACAAAAAAGAAATATGATAGACAGCAACTAATGACAACCATCCAATTATAGACTTCTGACTTGAGACAAGAACATACAAAATGTGGCAGTGTTAATACATTTTTAACATGTTTGCAAGCGCCCAACTTTCACTCTAACCAGAGGGTCGTAATGAGGGTACCTTCATGACGAATAACGGTAAAAAATCTTACCAAAAAGGTAATATTTGGTACATGATGATAACATGTACATTTTCTTTATGATGATAAAAAAATATACTGATTTTGACGAAAAATAATAGTAATGGATAATTATTGGAGACCTCTGACAAATCATGATAAGGATATTTTGATGAATCACGATAAGATTTTAAAAAAGTTGACGCTAAAATGACCGTTTGACACCTGACAGAAACTGGCATTCCTACCCTCTAACCTGAGACAGTTGTGTAAAAAAGTATTAACAAAAATACTGAACTAAATGGGAATTCAAAAAGGGGAACATCATACCAAAAGAACAAACTAAAAATCAGTTGAAATTTAAATAAAACTTAACGTAATAATAGCTTCTAGAATTTAGTTGATATGATATCTAAATCGCTCTATCAAACGAAGTTTCAGAAAGAAGAGAAAGAAACAAAATATTCCCATGTATACTGTAAGATATCTTAAGTTTATAAACATTGTTTAAGGCAAGAATATGTTAATTTTATTTTCCAGCAAATATTGATTAATTGGTGACTTTTTTTATACAATGTATTTGTTCTTATTTTCTTTGCAGACTTGTGTTGATGATATGTTTTGGTCTAGCTGTATTGTTATGTGTAGACAACAAAGGGTTACATCAAAGGTAATGGTCCATAAATCTGATAAAGTGTCCAAAACTTGATTCTAAGGAAAATGGAATTATGAGGTATCTGATTACTGTAAACCGGGAAATTTTCGGGCCGTCTTATATTCGCGATTTACCAACAAAATCTAGATTCGCACCGTTTTTAATTTGCGATGTCCCCGTCGGTGTCTTATATAAGTTTTTTTCATAAATGATATGGCAGTGTTAATAAATGTATTTAGATCAAGTGATAAAACCAATCAAAATTCCTTTTTGTCGGGTCACATTTAAAACTATTAGTCATGTTTGCTTGTAAAAACACAATCACAAACAAAGAGGAATGACCTAATTAAGAGTCATTCTAAAACTGATTGACATGTGTCATTTACATAACTGGAACGATAGTTGTTTATTTAGCAATATCCGTAATGTCCACTTGGATTAATTAGGACTATCATGAGATAAAGTTTTGATATCTAACACTGACTTTCCTTTAGAAATAAAGTTATGTTTTGCGGTATAGATCTGTCGTCTGTAAAACCAATGTTTTAAATTAGCCATCTACATATCTTATTGACATACGTTCATGTATGGTCTTCACATTTGTGTTTGGAATTTCTTGAAATATTCACGGTCATTTTATTTTCGTGTTTCAACTCTTACCGCAAAAATAGCGAAAATAAAACTGCCGTGAAAATTTCCCTAGGTACAGTATTTGAGATAGTACTGTTTATGTTAACAGAGCTTAAATATTTAAATTTATAGGATCAAAGCAAGGTTATATTTTTGTGTTTTGGTTTTTATGTCGCCTGCGACGAAAGTTGCGGAAAGCGAGAAATAGGGATTACTTTTCTGGCGATGGCTATGCCTGTGGCGGTGGCGTCATCAATTGTTAAGTTTTCTGCTTAAGTTAGTTTGATAGGAACTACTTGTTATAGATCACTGATATTTAATATTAAGTTGCATTACTATCAATACATATCAGTTTGATGACTATTTTGAGGCCCTGCTCCTAAGTCATAGTCCAGTGACTTTGAATTAATTAGCAATTTTCAATGTTAAGTAGCCTTGTTGTGCTAATGCGGCGTAAAGCAACCAACAATCAATCAATGTTAAGTTTTCTGCTTAAGTTAGTTTGATAGGATCTACTTGTGATAGATCAATGATATTTTGTATGAAGTTGCATTACTATCAGTACATATCTGTTTGACGACTTTTTTGAGACCCTGTCCACAAGATCATGGTCCAGCAACTTTGAATTAATAAGCAATGTTGCTGTCCATCAGATAGTATTTTTCTGAATGTTATGCGGACAAGCAAGACATATCTCTGTGTCAACAGTTCATTTTTTCTTTCGTCTCAGATTGTTAATGACACAAGACTTCATATTTATGTGTGGGATATTTTCATGTTTTTATCTTAATTGTAAAAAATAGTGAAATTTCCCACTATTTTTACACTTACTAAAAAAGCAAGCTTTAGACCAAAATGTGCAATTTGACAATGAAAAAGCTTTGTAATACAATGTAAAACTGACAGCTAAACTTTTTGAGTTTGTAACTATAACATACATATAAGTTTTGTTATTTTCAAAGTGAACTTTGAACTCGTTATGACATATTGTCAATGTCGAAACAAACTGATCAAACAGGTTCAAAGTTCATCTTAATGTTACTTTTTCAATGATTTGATTGACTAGTAAAGGAGCATTAGCTGTCAAATTCATGTTCACCGATCCAACAAAAAAGATCAAGTTGATCTCCGAAGAACTCTGTAGGTCAAATGAGCTGATGTAAACATAGATATAAATACACAGGCAAGCACGTGCAATCATATAATGACAATTTTTCTAGGTCTGTTTGATATCAAGATATAGATTAAAAAAATATATAAATCATCGTTTTACCCGTATTTGAATGATTTTTGTGGCCAGAATCTTAGGGTGGCTGCCCTGCTTCACTTTTCAATGTTGACATTCTTTTCTTTTTAATAACTAAACATAGTTAGCCCATGCGTAGCCCATCCAAGTTAAGAGTTAAATTGAAGTTCGCATAAATACAGATTCAAATGAGTTGAATTATTGACTTGCAAGCAAATAATACATCAATGTTTTTGAGGTTACTTCGACAAAATTGAACCAAAACTGAGTGTTAATACCGAAATATTATTTCACAATTCCGCCTCTATAAATGTTTGGGGAAAAAAATCATATTTTGATTTTTGTCAACTTTGTAGCTAATGCCCCTTTAATGACAATTATTACTCTTTTCAGATGCTAGTTAACAAAACTCATATTGTTCTTTTTTTCAGGAGTATGGTTGTATTTATGTCTATCTTTGTTCCATGTCATATTCTCATCATTTACTCATTCTTTCCTTTAATCTGGTAAGTATAAACTAAATATGTTAGAAATAATGCATGTATTTATTATACAAATATACAAATATAAGGGATTGAATTAAAAGATTTCAGTACAAGAAAATATTCTTGCAAAAGAATGCAGTTTGTTCTATGAATTAACCAGTTTGAAATTTTAACTTATTGATGGAAATTACTATGTAAACTGCCTCAGGAGATACATATGGCAATAGAAGTCTTTTTTATAAGCTGCAGAATTTGGATTTCTTAATAATGATTGAACTAGTATAAAGTATTTATGATGAGTATAAAAGCAACCATATTTATTGCAAAAGAAATGAAACCTATCCCCAGAATTTTTGATTTTTTTTGTTCAGGTAAATTAATGAAAGAATAATTGGCTTTTGAAGGAGAAATTTAAAGTTCTCATTGAATAAACTCTGTAGAGAACAATAGCTATGTATTGATACATTGGAACAGGTGAACTTGCAAAAAATTGAATAACCTGAAGGGGAACTCATTCTGGGCAAAGGTTTCATTTCTTAGGCAATGAGAGTAAAAGCATTCAGTAGTCTGTGTCAGTAGAAATGTCCACTAAATAAAGAAAATTATTACACAACAAGAAAATCATCTCTTCTGCATGAAGGAACAGTGTGTTTATGTTTATAAGTTTTCAAAATTTAAACAATAATTCTAGCAATCAGACAGTCCAAGGTACTGACAGATAGCTCAATTCTTATTTATATCATGCTGAAATAATTTGCAAAAATGTCTGAATTTACAGTTCTAAATTATTTAACATATTTAGTAAATAAGGGATTTGCAAAAACTTCTGAATTTACAGTACTTAATTATTTTACATTTTTGTCGAGCCTGCGACTTTTGTTGCAGAAAGCTCGACATAGGGATAGTGATCCGGCGGCGGCAGCAGCTTTAGCTAACTTCTTAAAAGCATTATATTTTAGAAGCTAGAAGACCTGGATGCTTCATACTTTGTATATAGATGCCTTATGTTACGAAGTTTCCGTCTGTCATATGTCCATTGTCCTTGACCTCATTTTCATGGTTCAGTGACTACTTGAAAAAAAAGTCAACATTTTTTGTAATGTTAATTTCTTTCTTATTATGAGTAATAGGATAACTATATTTAGTATGTTTGTACCTTGCAAGGTCCTCATGCCCGTCAGACAATTTTCATTTGACCTCGACCTCATTTCATGGATCAGTGAACAAGGTTAAGTTTTCATGGTCAAGTCCATATATCAGATACTATAAGCAGTAGGTCTACTATATTTGGTATATGGAATGATTGTAAGGTGTGCATGTCCAACTGGTAGGTGTCATCTGACCTTGACCTCATTTTCATGGTTCAGTGGTCAAAGTTAAGTTTTTGAGTTTTGGTCTTTTTTTCTAATACTATATGCAATAGGTCAACTATATTTGGTGTATGGAAATATTTTATGATGTACATGTCAGTCTCGCAGGTTTTATTTGACCTTGACCTCATTTTCAAGGTTCATTTCTCAGTGTTAAGTTTTTGTGTTTTGGTCTGTTTTTCTTCAACTATAAGCAATAAATCAACTATATTTGTTGTATGGAAGGATTGTAAGGTGTATGTGTCTGTCTGGCAGGTATCATCTGACCTTGATCTCATTTTCATGGTTCATTGGTCAATGTTAAGTTTTCTTGGTTAAGTTTGTTTCTTAGATACTATAAGCAATAGGTCAACTATATTTAATGCATACATTGATTGTAAGGTGTACATGTCTGTCTGGCATGATTCATCTGACCTTGACCTCATTTTCATGGTTCATTGGTCAAGGTTAAGTTTTCTTGGTTAAGACTGTTTCTTAGAAACTATAAGCAATAGGTCAACTATGATTGGTTTATTGAATCATTGTAAGGTGTACATGTTTTTCTCGTTTGGTTTATCTGACCTTGATCTCATTTTCTTGGATCATGTTAAGTTTATGTGTTACTTGTAGTAAAGCTTTATATTTAGGACTATCAACATAAAATCAATGCTTAGTAAAGAAGGCGAGACATTCCAGCGTGTGCACTCTTGTTAGTAAATTTTGAAATTTTGTAAAATCAAACATATTTATTGTGAAAGTTTATAAATTCATTTATATATTTACAAGATAAATTCTTAAATTTACAAATACTTTCATACATACATACATACATTTCAGGGTATCTGTACTGAATCTCATATTACTAGTTCTAGTTAATGCCTTCATACTGATGACTGGAGCTTGGATTATTTTGCAGTTCAAAGTGTTTCGAATGAATGAGTATGATGTTTGTGTGGTAAGAAAATTAGTCATTCAGTAGCAAATGATTATTTTGGGAGTCTGAGATATTGTCATCTTTGCTTTTGAAACTTGGTTGGATCTCAATGTCATGATCCAGGCATTAAGAGTGCAATGTACTGATAATCTATATGAACAGAAGTTGATTTTAAGATTTTTTTCATGAAATTTGTTTTGATAGGCTAATTTTATATTTGTTTAGAATGTTGTTTAAAGTTATGAAGTTAATAAATTTTTTGTAGAAAATATGAAATATAAATTGTCTATTTACTATGTTGGTTTTTCATTTGTTTTTGAACTTTCTGTTTTCACTTATTTTGAAATTTGCCAGGTCTCAAAAAAAAAAATCATCACTCATCTCCCCTTGCTTTTGTTTGATTATTTTGTGTATGCATACCTACCAACTTTTCAAAATCTCCGTGGGGGATTTTAAGCACAAGAGGACCTATTGCATGCCTATTCATGTCATTAGTGTACTTAATTAGAACATTTATGGTTTAGAATGAGTAAACATGTGTTTAAATGTATTTTTCACTCATCTGAATGCCTTTTTTGAATTATTTAGTGTAAATAATTGACTATTGTTAAGGGTCCTATAGGACAACACCTTTCATCATGCTCATGGTAGATATCCCCTATAAAACAGGAACGTTGGCAGGTCTGAATTTATGTCATTATTAAACCATCTTGAAATAGAATTGGAGGATCAGTAGATTTCAGGTACTACTGTTTGATCTGTAGCGTTCACAGCTGTTTTGAGAGGACAGAACACCTCTTTTTATGTAAATAAGTCACACAGCCAAATAAGGAATGGGGTTTATGTTTGAAAAATCTAATGTGAGGTTGGTCATAAGCATCATGCGCATATCTAAGGTTTTAAGGAAAGGGGAGGGATTTTCAGAAATGGTCAAATAAGGGTTGAGCATAGCGATTTGACAACTTTAGGCCTAAAAAGGGTATATTTTACGATTAGAATGGAGTGGGGTGTACACCCTATACATCCCATTCTGAATCTGCTACTGTCAGAGGATAGATGTAGAAGAGGATCATTTCTAAGTTCAGCATCACAATTGTCAGTTGAATAACTGTATGATAAAATTGAAGCCTTCTTTTCTGCTTGGCATATTAGGAAATTATATCTTGTTTTGAGTTGAGACAAAATAATTGTTTGTTATTTATAAAGAATATATGTCATCAATTTATTATACCCCACGCAACGAGTTGCGGAGGGTATAATATTTTTGACCCTTCTGTCCGTCTGTCCGTCCATCAGTCCGTCAGTCTGTCAGTCCGTCAGTCCTGTTTCTTGTCATCACAACTCCTTTCAAACCACACAACAGAATTTCACGAAACCTTCTTAGATAATAAGGACATACTATGTAGTTGTGCATATCGACAGGAAATTACGATTCAATTTTTTTTCCAGGAGTTACGCCACTTTGAACTTATTTGCCCAATATACTACTGCAACCTTTTGTCATCGCAACTCCTCTCAAACCACACAACAGAATTTCATGAAACCTTTTCAGATAATAAGGACATACTACGTAGATGTGCATATCAACAGGAAATTACAATTCAATTTTTTTTCCAGGAGTTACGCCCCTTTAAACTTATTTGCCCAATATACTACTACAACCTTTTGTCATCGCAACTCCTCTCAAACTACACAACAGAATTTCACGAAACTGTGTAGATAATAAGGACATACTATGTAGATGTGCATATTGACAGAAAATTATTATTCAATTTTTTTTTCTGATACAATTTTTTTTTCTTTCACTTATTTTATTTCTCCATTACAATGTTGGGACGTGGGGTATGTGAGCTCGCTCACTAAGGTTCTTTCATTTCAGTCAGAAATGTTCCTATATCAAATTCTGAATAGGCATCTTTTTTTCCTGTTTCAAATTTAAATCTACATTATGGTCTTTACTATGTATTGCTACATATACTATAATATGTCTATTTTACAGTTTTTTGAAGAGACACTATTTGCTGTCTATCCTGCCATATCAGCTGGACTGTTATCATGGGCTGCATCCACTGTGGTACCAATACAACATATTCCATTCCTGTTAGCTTTTATAGGGTATGTTATATTAAAGGCGATTGCTGTGGATTCATTATTATTCGTGGGATACCAATTTTCATGGATTTCATTGGTACTGGTGAACCACGAATTTAAATGTTCGATTAAGGAAAAATTTTCTATAGGCTTGTATGCAGACTTTGGTAAAATCATGAAATCAAATATTCACGAATATACAATGTTTTCTTAATAAATCAACGAAAATTGGTACCTACGAAAGTAAATGAATCCACAGTATCACATTGGTGCATATTCCCCTAAATTTCCAATGTCACAATGCTTTTGTTATTACTTCACAGTAATAGTATATATTGTTTTGCGTTTTGCTCATGATAAACTTTAAAGGGTAGGTGTTAGATTCTACAGCTGAGAATTCTACTTGTGTTTAACTGAAAACTCATCACATCATAGGGTGATTGAAATTTAGACTAACATCAGGCATTAAGTATTTTAAACTTTTTTTTTGTCCAAAAAAGTCCTGTTATTAATTTGGGGGGGTGGGGGGGGGGTAGTATTAGTATCCATTTTATGAGACCATTTTTGGTCTTGTACTGAACCCCAGATATTGATTCTGAGGTAGATTTCTGTTTAACTTGTCTATCAAAAGGTTAAGTGGTAATTCATCAATTAATCAATCAATTTATCAATGAAAACCCAGTATGTTTTTGTTCGACTGCCCTTTTATTTGAAAGCTTGACAGAATGTAAATAACAACCAACTCCTATCTACATCATCCTTAATATGTTTACATAAGAATAGAATAGAATAAAACAATGTTTACTACTAACACAGTGCCCAAAATTGAGCTGAATAATTACATCAAATTTAGAAGCAATGATTACAATTTCAATATGATAATTCAAACAAAATGTCAACAAGTAAATGTAACATAATTTAAATTATAACTTGATATAAAATGTATATATTAAATACAATGAACTAATTTTAAAATACAAACAAGCTAGACTAAAAAAATCTTCATAGATACCAGGATTAAAATTTTGTACACCAGACTCGCATTTCATATACAAAAGACTCATCAGTGATGCTAAACCCACCTGCCACTTTCTATCTATATTTCTAATATGTTCTTGTAATTTTGCAGGTTCGTATTCCTGCAGCTGTTTATGGCGCCTACCACTTCATCATTCAGAAAACCCAAGTCAGATGAAGACAGTTGTAACATTCTGAAGGTCTCCAGTCTGACGGCCATATCTGTGATATATTGTACTTTACCGACCATCCTACAGATTATTATACATGTTGTTCATCGTAGTCAGATGTTTCATATTTCATTTGTTGTAAGTATGAAATGTTGAACTAATTAAGAAGGTAGGCTTAAGTTAAGGGAACAACTCTTAAAGATCACTGCTATGTTTTTGTAAACCATTTTTACAAATATTCTCCAAGCTTTTAATAACACAGATTATTTTGATTCTGTTTCAAAAAAAGCTTTAAAAGCATGGATGAAAATGACTCTTACAAATACATTACAGATTTTATGAGTTATCTCGCTTTACCCAGTTCAAAATTTGTACAAATCTCATGCCCAACCTAAGAGAGTAGGGGTATTATGTTTCCAGTCATTTGTCCATCAGACTAAAATAAGGTAGTTAACTATGAAATTGAGGTCACACCCACTTGAAACTAAATACACATATTTATTATGATAGAAACTTTTGAAATATATGCTGAATTAGGCTTTGGACCTAGATTTCTTAGTTCATTGAACATGGATAGAAGATAGTGCCAGCTGGGCATTGTGTCAAAGGACATATTTTCTTGTTTTGAGACTTTGTCTAAGTTTCAACATTTTTTTACAAAAGATGTTTTTGTGTTTTTCTTTTTTTCCCACTTCACAAATTTTAAGCACAATCCCAAGTTGTAAAAGTAAATAAAAATTGACTTTGAATAATTTTGGCAAGACTTTCATATTTAAATTATGTCAAAGTTATTTTTTTCATACTTTTGATGTTTCTAGTGTATATTTTTCAGACTGAAGTTATTTTTCTATCCATGACACAGTTATTTTTATTAACTTTGATGAGCATCAGACCATTAGTGGAAGCTCTAGGTTAGTATGTTGTATATTCTAATATCTATACAAGATAAGACAGCACTGGTAGAGATAAAATTAACAATGAAAGAAAGTATTTGAAAAAATGCAATTTATTATGGAAAGTACAGCTTCTACTGTTTCAAAATTGTTCTAATATAAAATAAAAAGAGTTGTAATTTGCGCTTCAATGAGTCAGCAACTAAACAATGCAACAAAAAGAAAATAAGCATGTTGAAAGTTTCTAATTCTTTAGCATGGTTTCTAAGAAATCTGTACATTTGATGGCAACACACTGAAAAAAACACAAGACTGAACTTTGTTTTAAATTGCAGGTCATGATCATAGTTTAGTAGTAAAGTTTAGATGGTTGAGTGGAGCTTCAGCCACCATTTTATGTTATCCAGTCCTGATGCATCTTGGAATATCTTCTCACTTTTTACCATGGTTACCAGCAGCCATTGGTACATACTCAGTTTTTGGTGCAGTTCTAAGTTACAAGAAAACTAAGGTACACAAATGTATCATTCATATAGTAATTAACACATACTGTAAAAAGTTTTGTATTATACACACTTTTTCAACATAAAAATAGAAATTCAAACTGCTAGTAAAGAAGCAAGAAATGAGAAGGCTGGTTGCTTGCTTCGTACAAAAAAAAAAAAGAGCTTATATGTTTGTATTGTTATATATGTGAACCGAATCAAAATAAAACTTTCGTATCGCCTTGGCCACCAAATTGTTATACAAATCAGAGGTCATCGTTATTTCTTTTCAATTTCTCAATTTGAAATTCAGCATTTGCCTAATCAGCTGTATAATGTAATTTGAATAAGAAAATAGGATTTGAAAGAAACATATTAAACTCCTCAACCTCAGTACAAAATTCTTTTTCGCCTCATTTACCATAAAATTTCTTGACTTTTTCTGCATTAAACAAAACATATTTAAGCTTTAGACAAAATGAATCATTAAATTATGCCATTACCAAAACACTCTTCTGTGAACAGTTTGAGGTGGGGGCAATTATGAAGTGGTCATGTCTTTTTTATGATATATAAAGATTTACTAACCTACCACTTCTGCAACAGCTTCGTAATAAAATAAGACTTTATTTGATAATTTAAAAATTGGAAAGGACAATCGACCTTTTCTCTGGCTTAGTCAGATTAAAAAAACAATTGAATCATAAAATACAACTGTTAAAAACATATTTACTGGCTTAGAATAGCAATCATTAATATGTGCATAGCATGCCAGAATTAGAATTAACAAATGGGAAGAAGAAAAATAGATACATAGTAACTAACCTAACCAAATTTTTATCATATATTAGATGACTATGAATAATTTTTGAGGAACTGCAACTATATAAATGTATGATATGATGTTTTTTTTAAATTGTTTTACAGAGAATATCAGATGGAGTGTTAGCAGTAGCCATTATCTTTTCTGTCATATGGGGATCATTGTTACCATGGAAACTTGCATATCCTTTTTGTCGAGCCTTTGACTTTTGTCAAAAAAGCGAGACATAGCGATCCTACATTCTGTCGGCGTCGTCATCGTCGTCGGCGGTGTCCACAAATATTCACTCTGTGGTTAAAGTTTTTGAAATTTTAATAACTTTCTTAAACTATCCTGGATTTCTACCAAACTTGGACAGAAGCTTGTTTATGATCATAAGATAATATTCAAAAGTAAATTTTGTAAAAAAAAAATCCATTTTTTCCGTATTTTACTTATAAATGGACTTAGTTTTTCTGCCATTTAACATTACATTCACTCTGTGGTTAAAGTTTTTAAAATTTTAACAACTTTCTTAAACTATCCTGGGTTTGTACCAAACTTGGAAAGAAGCTTGTTTATGATCATAAGATAGTAACCAGAAGTAAATTTTGTAAAAAAAATCCAGTTTATCAGTATTTAACTTATAAATGGACTTAGTTTTTCTGCCAGTTTACATTACATTCACTCTGTGGTTAAAGTTTTTTTTAAATTTTAACAACTTTCTTAAACTATCCTGGTTTTGTACCAAACTTGGACAGAAGCTTGTTTATGATTAAAAGCTAGTATCTAGAAGGAAATTTTGTTAAAATTTTGTTCCATTTTTTCCATATTTTACTTATAAATGGACTTACTTTTTCTTCCAGTTAACATTACATACAGTCTGCAGTTTAAGTTTTAAAAACATTTATTAGATTCATAAACTATCCTGGATTTTTACCAAACTTGGACAGAAGCTACTTGCAATCAAAAGATAGTATAGAGAGGAATAATTTTATTAATTTTTTTCCTTATTTTTGTTGAGCCTGCGCTTAACAGCAAAAGTAGGCGAGACACTGGGTTCCGCGGAACCCTTACGAATTTTTTAATAATATGGTTACACATTTCATTTCAAGATTGATATTAGAATTTTAATAAGTGAAATGTTGTTTTTCTCTGAAAAAAGTTTTGGTAAAGTTAGAAAATACTTAAAGGTTTTAACTAGTGCAAAAAACAGTGCATTGTGAACAAATGCAAAAAAATGGAATTTTTATTTATGATAGATAGTTATTATCCAATAGTGCAAAGTTACAGAAAATATATACATGTAATAATGCTATTTTCTGTCTGTTTATCTACCCACTTGTCTGTCTGTAACACCAACATAACTAAACATTCTGTCTTATATGTTCTTCATGTCTTTCAGGTCTCATGGTATCTATACTATTAAATGAGTAGACCTCTTTTTGTGTATCACTTCTCTTCCTTCCACAATAAATTAATCGTCATGCCTCTGTGTCCTATAGGTACCATGCATAGTCGCATTTGTCATCCTTGCTTATGATTATTCTGTTTGGGTTATTTTGGGAGGAAAACGAAAATAAAGGCGTCCGGATATTATTTCCGTCATCAGACGGACTTTTAAGTCATTGACAAGACTTCCGTTTAGAACTGTTTTAAAATTACACATAATTTTCATAAGTACTTGGAGACAGGACAATTATTTTCACGTATTTTTTGTTTAAAGTGTATTTGCTATTTACTATCAATTCCAAGTTTACTATCCGCGGCGGTCACTGGTATATTATATAGAGAGTCTATATATATATAATAATATTTCAGTGACCGCTGTGGATAGTAAACTTGAAATTGATAGTAAATAGCAAATAGACTTTATTTATAGTATGTGTATGTTCAAAGTATACAGAAAAGCGCAAAAATAATTGAAATTAACATAAAACAAAAAATAACGGACTTTGGAAAAAAGGGGAGGGCTAAAAAAACTACCAAAGTGTCCACAAGTACCTATGACTTTTGATACCTTTCCTGAAATTCTCCAGTCATAAAGTCTTACATAAATTCATCCTACAACAGTTTATATACTTTCAACAATGCTCTAAATGCCGGCGATATCGCGGGTGTGTTCTTGTTTCATTAATTTTTTGGTGTAGGAGGTCATTTGTTTGACCTCCAACTTGATCAGCTTAAAGGCTTTTAAATTAGTATTTTCTGTTTGTTCAAGACACATGCCACTTTGGAGTTAAAAAGCTGGTGTTGTAGCAAGAGTGATGTATCCTGGTGGAGTGATATGTCACCTTGTGAACTGTTGTCTTTTGAGGTCATTTATTAAATATCTAGTACATGGTTCGTATATTCTTGTCACATCAGTATGTTGTTCTCCTTAATTTAGTTGGAATATTACATTATGGTCATTCAAAATTCATTAGTCTTGTAGGAACTATAGAGGAGCAGTCTTGCATCCAATGTTATCAAACCTTGCCTCTGATTGGTTATATGAAGTACTTGCATTTATTCTAAACTTAGGGGTTATAAGTTTACAATATGACTAATGGCAAATAGGTTAATGAACATTAAAGAACTTTAATGTTTTTCTGACAAATTTATGGTAAATGCATGGTTTAAATTATAAATTTCTAGTATTGCATTAAATCGTTATTTTTTAATATAATTGATTAATCTTTTTTTTATTTTGAAACTGAAATATTGAACCTTAACACAGAATACATTTAAATTGATATTTGGATTGCCGTTGCCTGCTGTTTATGTGATGATGTTAACCAATGCTGTATTGTGCCTTCTGATTGGTTATGTCGGTAGTCATGGGAGACAAGAAATGTTTAGTATACTTGTTTGTATACAGACTGTTGGTATGTATGAAAAGAAGGAAGCAGTGTCTGTAGTACTAAAGAATTGAATACAGATCTTGTCACATTTCTTAGAAAGCCAGATGAGTTAATTTTGGACTTAAGATTTCCAATGAGACAACTACTGTAAATTTAGAAATTACTGTGTGCATTTTTTATTGTGATGTTTAAAAAATGGACAAAATTAGAGATTAATTATTGCGATTTCAGGATATATAACATATATCAATCAGATATCGAAATGCGAGTTATTATTATTGCGATACTCACCCAGTCGCATTATTCGCATTAATAAAAACTTCGCAATAATTTCTGATAAGTATCCATAAGAGTCCAAATAGATCACCATTCTGCCTTCAACAATGAGAAAAACTAATATCATATAGTAAGCTATTAAAAGCCTCGACATAAGGAAATGTGAAACAATTCAAACAAAAAAACAAATAGCCTGATTTGATATGCTAGAACAATAAAGGGAAAAACAATTCTGATAAAAACACTTATAACTCATTCTATTATAAAGTCCATTCAGAGAGCACCATGGTAAAAAAAGTAAAGTATTAAGGTACTAGGTGCTTTAAGGCCCTGTGGAGAACACTGTATGCATGCTAGTTAAAAACTGTCTCTTTATATACTGAAAACAGGCCAATTTTCTCAAAATGACAAGAATTCAAATGGCTAGAATTATGACCTTTCTACTATACAAATACAGGTTGACAGATAACATAAAGCAATAAATGTATAGTATACATTTATAGTCTCCTGGTATCCTGATTCTGTTGTGAGCGAACACTTTAAATTACTATTTACATCACATTTCAATTTGGGGTCCTCATCGCGTTCTGCATTTAAGTCATGTTGATTAGATTAAAAAAAATCCGTCGGTTGAGAAGTTAAATAATTTTATGTTTAAGTGTAAGTGTTACATTTCAGAATAAAAACGTAAATTGTATGAAAATATAAAATGCAGTTGTGCTTGCTACGAAACAGGAGAAAAGTTCAGCCAACCCCGACTTTCTCTCTGTTTCAAAAGTGCATACAAATAAATTTTAGATTTTCCCACAATGTACAAATTTTGTCTATATACATGTATTTGTCATTGAGGTATGACAGAAGCTTTTTTTATTTGATGAACAAATTTTGTATTAAATCTTTATTACAGAACTGTTGAGGTAGAATTATAACCTATTTTATGTATATATATAAAAATTATGCTTATCCGTTTTGGCTTGATTTTTTTTTTTTTATTTATTTTAGTTTTTGTTTGCTGTGAGACTGTGTTGTATGATGCAGGACTATACAGATGGCAGTTGTTTATAATAACATGTGTGATAGCTGCATATACATTTCAGAGGTAAGGCAATGACAGTCTTAACCTATTCACAATATAAAAATAAGAAGATGTGGTATGATTGCCAATGAGAAACTCTCCACAAGAGACCAAATGACACAGAAATTAACAACTATAGGTCACCGTATGGCCTTCATCAATGAGCAAAGCTATAAAAGGCCCCAAAATGACAAATGTAAAACTATTCAAACGAGAAAACTTACGGCCTGATTTATGTACAAAATAATGAATGAAAAACAAATATGATATACAGCAACAAACGATAACTAATGAATTACAGGCTCCTGACTTGGGACAGGCACATACAGAATGTAGCTGGGTTAAGCATGTTTGCTGGCGCCAAAGCCTCCCCTAACCTGGAATAGTGGTGCAACAGTACAACATAAGAACAAACTATAAAAACCAGTTGAAAATGGCTTAACTCATCAAATCTATACAAATCACAAAACAAAAAACTAACTAAAACGCAAAAGACAAAAAGTACAGATTTGAGAGTACTCCCAGTTACTGAGAGCTAGTTCAAAGCCAATAACAACTTATAAAAAATCATGTATCTTAGACTAAAATATCAATCAGTACATATCCAACACTCAATGGATTTAGTGTAAAGACGGCATTAACAGTCGAGAAAACCATGACATTGTGCAGTGCCTAAATATAGGTATTGACAGATTGTAGGACGGTGAATGTTCATATTATATAGCAATAATATTTAGTTTGGGTTTACTTGAATTACACAAGTTTTCTTGGTACTGATTAATGTCACAAATGAAAAATTCAACAGGTTTTAAATATCTTGATTTTTACTCAATTTTTGCATCAAAAAGTTTTGCTTGTGAAGAGAAATAATGTTCACTTGTCAGGTTACATATATGCTCATTGTATAAATAAGGTGCTTAATTATAATTTGAAAATGCCAGTCTTTTTAAGAAATAGGCAATTTAGAAGTATTTCAAAACATGGCAGAAAAAAACCCACCGACCTAACCATTCTACTATGAAGTTACCCTCGTTCTGAGTTAGAAATGGTAGCTTTTATTTCTGTGTGTCTGGTAATTCAAGAAATCTTTTGGTTAGAATGATAGCAAATTACGGAGTTAGCTCCCCTTAAATGGTAATTTTTAGTGCATTTCAACCAAATTATATCTTGAAAAATCAGAACATGAAAAGAAGACCTGATAGAACTTTAAAGGACAAAAAAGTATGTATATGATAAAGTTTTCAACTTCAATTTAATTTTCTATTAACAATGTCTGTTTCAACAGCTGACATTTTTTAACACCTCTTTTGGTGAAATAAGATAAGAAATGGTTACCAAATTGGTTGTAAATTGATGAAAGATGTAAATCAATACACCTTAGTTGCATTTAAACTGGTCTTTGTTTTATTTTTCAGGTTACATTTATCTAAGAAATTACCGTTACGTTTAAGCTGTTTCTGCATGTCATTATACCTGTCTAAAGCGACCATTGTGTTGATAGAACACTTTGTATTCCATCCTAACAAAGTACCAGTGTACAGCTACATAACCATCCTGTTTCTGGTGTTTATGATCATTAGAATATATGTTGCAGAATTCGATACAAATGCTCATTCCGTAAGTTGATGCTGTCTACTATTTGATAAAGGAAAATTATACAGGAAAAATTTTATGGGAAATGTCAATGAGACAGCAGTCAGACATTGCAAAAGTATTAAAATGTATTTTCAACACTTATTCAAGAAATAGTGTACTGAGTTTTACTGTGCGTATTTCTGTGTGTGTTTGTTTATTCTACATTGGCTAGAGGTATAGGGGGAGGGTTGAGATCTCACAAAACATGTTTAGCCCCGCCGCATTTTTGCACCTGTCCCAAGTCAGGAGTGACGTCCATTTTCACTGAACTAGTACACATTTTTAGCTCACCGGGGCCCGAAGGGCCCCATGTGAGCTTATGCCATCACTTGGCGTCCGTCGTCTGTCGTCGAAAACTATTTCAAAAATCTTCTCCTCTGAAACTACTGGGCCAAATACCTTCAAACTTTAACTAAATGTTCCTTAGGGTATCTAGTTTATAAATTATACCGAAGTTTTGATCCATCGACAAACATGGCCGCCATGGCTAAAAATAGAACATAGGGGTCAAACGCAGTTTTTGGCTTAAATCTCAAAAACTAAAGCTTTTAGAGCAAATCTGACAGGGGGTAAAATTGGTCAATTGGTCAAGATCTATCAGCTCTGAAATTTTCAGACGAATGGAACAACCCATTGTTGGGTTGCTGCCACCGAATTGGTAGTTTTAACAAAATTTTGCAGTTTTTTGTTATTATTTTGAATATTATTATAGATATATATAAACTGTAAGCAGCAATAATGTTCAGCAAAGTAAGATCTACAAAAAAGTTAATTTGACCATAATTGGCAATTGACACCTTAAGGAGTTATTGCCCTTTAAAGACAATTTTACACAATTTGTTCATCAAGTTTGCTAACATTTAAAAATCTTCTCCTCTGAAACTACTGGGCCAATTACCTTCAAACTTTAACTAAATGTTCCTTAAGGTATCTTGTTTATAAATTGTATCAGAAGTTTGTATCCATCGACAAACATGGCCGCCATGGCTAAAAATAGAACATAAGGGTCAAATGCAGTTTTTGGCTTATATCTCAAAAACTAAATCTTTTAGAGCAAATGTGACATGTGTTAAATTGTTTAATTGGTCAAGATCTATCGGCCTTGAAATAATCAGAGGAATCGAACAACCCATTGTTGGGTTGCTGCCGCCGAATTGGTAGTTTTAACAAAATTTTGAAGTTTTTTGTTATTATTTTGAATATTATTATAGATATATATAAACTGTAAGCAGCAATAATGTTCAGTAAAGTAAGATCTACAAAAAAGTTAATATGACCAAAATTATCAATTGACCCCTTAAGGAGTTATTGCCCTTTAAAGACAATTTTACACAATTTGTTCATCAAGTTTGCTAACATTTAAAAATCTTCTCCTCTGAAATACAGGTGAGCGACTCAGGATCTTGAGAGCCTCTTGTTATTTTGAATATTATTATAGATATATATAAACTGTAAGCAGCAATAATGTTCAGCAAAGTAAGTTCTACAAAAAAGTTAATATGACCAAAATTGTCAATTGACCCCTTAAGGAGTTATTGCCCTTTAAAGACAATTTTACACAATTTGTTCATCAAGTTTGCTAACATTTAAAAATCTTCTCCTCTGAAACTACTGGGCCAATTACCTTCAAACTTTAACTAAATATTCCTTATGGTATCTTGTTTATAAATTGTATCCGAAGTTTGTATCCATCGACAAACATGGCTGCCATGGCTAAAAATAGAACATAAGGGTCAAATGCAGTTTTTGGCTTATATCTCAAAAACTAAATCTTTTAGAGCAAATGTGACATGGGGTAAAATTGTTTAATTGGTCAAGATCTATCGGCCTTGAAATAATCAGAGGAATCGAACAACCCATTGTTGGGTTGCTGCCGCCGAATTGGTAGTTTTAACAAAATTTTGAAGTTTTTTGTTATTATTTTGAATATTATTATAGATATATATAAACTGTAAGCAGCAATAATGTTCAGCAAAGTAAGATCTACAAAAAAGTTAATATGACCAAAATTGTCAATTGACCCCTTAAGGAGTTATTGCCCTTTAAAGACAATTTTACACAATTTGTTTATCAAGTTTGCTAACATTTAAAAATCTTCTCCTCTGAAATACAGGTGAGCGATTTAGGCTCTTGAGAGCCTCTTGTTTGTTTAGGGGCCAGCTGATGCCCGCCACCGGATGCGGGATTTTCTCTCTGTGTTGAAGACCCATTGGTGGCCTTGGGCTGTTTTATGCTCTTTGGTCGGGTTGTTGTCTCTTTGACACATTCCCCATTTCCTTTCTCAATTTACAATATTTGCAATGAGCATAAAACATATGTGAACAATATTACTACATAAATAAATAGCTTAATTAAAATTGAGAATGGAAATGGGGAATGTGTCAAAGAGACAACAACCCGACCATAGAACAGACAACAGCAGAAGGTCACCAACAGGTCTTCAATGCAGCGAGAAATTCCCGCACCCGGAGGCGTCCTTCAGCTGGCCCCTAAACAAATACATGTACTAGTTCAGTGATAATGAACGCCATACTAAACTCCAAATTGTACACAAGAAACTAAAATTAAAAATAATACAAGACTAACAAAGGCTAGAGGCTCCTGACTTGGGACAGGCGCAAAAATGCGGCAGGGTTAAACATGTTTATGAGATCTCAACCCTCCCCCTATACCTCTAGCCAATGTAGAAAAGTAAACGCATAACAATACGCACATTAAAATTCAGTTCAAGAGAAGTCTGAGTCTGATGTCAGAAGATGTAACCAAAGAAAATAAACAAAATGACAATAATACATAAATAACAACAGACTACTAGCAGTTAACTGACATGCCAGCTCCAGACTTCAATTAAACTGATTGAAAGATTATGTCTTCATCATATGAATATCAGGCACAATCCTTACCGTTAGGGGTTTAGTATCATACTCTCATAACATATATGAGAAGAACATAACCCGTGTCATGCCAACAACTGGTTTTTAAATAAATGTGTTTAGTGCCGATGCAAAGACCCTATAAGTGAATCAATATTAATTCAATGTTTTCACGTTTTTTTTATTCATAATTTTTAGTTAGCAGATAAAGGAGGTTAAAAAAAATTATGAATGTAAACTGATATATTAAGAAATTATTCTGTGACAATATTTGATTAAAGATTTAAGTGAACACTTGCTTTAATTATGCCTGAAAATTTTTCATATTTTTGTGTGAATGAAGGTCATTGTGAGTTATACATCAATTAGATATCAATAGACAGCAAACCTGTGACACAAAGAAAGCAAATAGACATCAAATTACTGTCTTCCACAAAGGACAAGTGTCTGTACAATATATTCACTTCCCTGCATCTTAAAAGTGAATAAATTTTACAAGGATTATCAAAAATTAGCCACCAACATCAAAGTCCATTAAGAACAAATTTCTAAAAATATAAATAAGTAAACAAACAATATTCAACACACTTCGTTCTTTAGGTAGGTTAATTTTTTAACAGTTATATAGGATTTATTTGATAGTAAAATTTAAATTGCTGTTTCTTCTTTTCAGTTTACGAGACATTTAGGATTATTATGTGTATCAGTTTTACTGAATGCCAACCCATTGATATATGTATTATCATCTTATATATTTATGACTGAATCTGCCGCTAGTGATATTGCAGGTAAGTTTGTGAATAGGATAAATGTTTGTGTTCAGTGATACAAAATAATAATTGGCACCTTTTGGTTAAAAAACATTTTGGATTTTAGTTTGTGGCCAAGGTTTTCCTAAAGCTTCTATGTCTGAAAAATGCACAAAATCATCATATTTTGACAATATATTCAAAATGTGCTGACTTGTGAGCCTGTAATATACTATTATGAAGACATTTATTTTACCGAGCAATAAGGCTTTTGAAAAAGATCTGTTTAAGAACCAAATTATGGCCTTTTTAATGTTATATGATAAAGTTGAAATTCAAGGCTATATTTGGTCACAAGTGAAACTTGTCCATTTGGGGTTGCATCATTGAGACACTCACAATGGGTCATCACACTTAAAAATGATAGGGATGCAACATCTTAATGGCAGCCAAACAGGGAGCAGTCATTACATGATAGGGAGACTGATTAGCTGATACAGCACGATTGCCATCTATTAGCTCAAAAGTTATGTGTACTGACAGGTAACAATCTATCTTGATGATGATGGTCAATTGGTTTTCCTTGTACCAGTATCACTCTGCACTTATTGATAACATTACTAAACAAGGCTTTGTTACATCCTATATGCTTGACCGAGTCAAATAACTTTGACATGGACTTATCACCAACATCAGAATGTTAAACCTGACATTGATAAGTTTGACAGGAACTTATCAAGTCTTTTTCTGATGTTACTGATAAAAAAAGAAAAAACTATTGTTTCAACATGAAAAACACACATATGCAATCCAATAAATCTATCAGATTTTCACACAATATGGATGATCCTGATTTGAACTCTTACAGAAAGCTTCATATTTTTTACACCAATCTGATATTTTACAGTAAATGTTTCAATATTCAGAAAACCTGATAAACAGTACTTTGCAAATTGGTATTGTAATACTGTGGATTCATTATTATTCGTTGGATACCAATTTTCATGTATTTCGTGGGTACAGTTGAACCACGAAATTAAATATTCAACGAATTACAAATTTCATATAGGCTTGTATACACACTATGGAAAAACCACGAAATTGAATATCCACGAACTTCTAAGTTTTCCTTAATCCACGAAAATTGGTACCCACGAAAGTAAATGAATCCACAGTATGAGATGTCTGTCACAATATGAAGCTTTTTTGTGAGTAAGTAGGACTAATGTGCCTGAAAACTTTATTTTGTTTCATGTTTTTGTATAAAAAAAAATGATGGAAATTTGCTAATGTTTATCTTTAATGTGATATGCATGATTTAAAATTTGTATCATTAGTATAGACTTTACATTAATTTTTGAATTCATGGCATATGAAGAAAACCTGATAATTGATTTATCATAGTGTATTTTTTATGGCTTTCTTCAGGGTGTAATAGGCAGAGGGAAATTTGATAGTATTGATAAAAAAATGCCAATTTTGGTCTGATGTATGATAAATGGCACATGAACATTTTACGAATTTATTACCTATACTCATTGGTCATAGTTTATGGTATAAACAAGATGTAAAGTTGCTGACATATAATGGGTAAGGTCACCTTATTTTATATATGTGGTAAATTTTAATTGGGACATATATTGTAAAATCACCACCATGGACATTCCAGGTAAAATGTATTTAGTAAAAAAACCATGTAGGCTATATGTGGTAAAATCTTCGTCAAATCTTACTTAAGACTAACTATTGAAATTGCAATTATTTCATGTTTAATTGTTGCAGGACTATGTAGTATGGTGTGTGGTGTGCTCATAATTATAGCACAGTCGATACATGTTCCAGAGGACCAAAGAATCCGATACACAGGTGTTTTGGGTATATTTCTTGGTCTGGTGTTTATAGTTTTTAGACCTGACTTGACACCGACTCTGTAAGTTTACACTATACATCTACAAAAAATAGAAAGATAACTCATTTTATTCTTCTTACCTCTTGAATAAGAGTTGGACTCTGTACTTGAGTGTAAATTCAAATAACACTTTTTAAATTTTGTTCGTCTGAAGTGTTTTTCTGAATTTACTTTCAGTAGGATCGCTCCAACCTAAACATTTGAAAGCCAGGGATGTAATTGAATTGTTCATTTGTTTCTAAAAAAAAAAGGTTTGTTAAAAATATGACCACTTAAATTTTTCATCATGATTTTGTCCACCAAAAGTTATATAGCAGACAAAATTTTACAGGAAAACTTCAAAACTTCTGTAAAAGAAAAGATTGACATTTCTAGAGTTAATGCTGCTTTTGGAAATGGACCAGTATCACTTATTATTATAAAATTAAAGAACAGATTGTGTAAATCAACTATGCTGTTATACTGATTTAAGGGAAAGGCATGAGTATGAATAAACATCACAACTTCATGTATTGTCTGTTTCACATTTTATATTAAATTTGTAACTCCTTGAAAATGTCTGATAGAATTCAATCAAACTTGCAAATATTCTTCTACAGCACAGTAATATAATAATACAATTATATATATGTTGCCCTGATTTAAATCATTCAGTGAGATGAGAGGAACATTTTTAATACACCATGGAAAAAACTAAAAAAGAGCAAGATACCAAGATACACATGTAAAAAGAAGCTGAAAGCTAAATATTGGGCAATACAAACTACAGTAAAGTGAAATTATGTGCACTTGGAGGGTAAACATATCCTCATGTCCTGCTGGTCATATTTAATTTTTATTCCTCTATAGTCAAAGCGAGTAATTTGGTAATGACTCAGATCTGATCTGTAAAAAAGTCCAGTAAGATACATGTCAGCCAGCCTGGCCACAGTCATCATGGAAACTTCTTGAGTGTTCAGAATTTTGTCTAAGCCATGTGCATTGTTTTTGAAATCTTTAAAGCCACTTCATGTTCCAGAATCACCACAGAATTAAAACTCATTCATGATGAACAGGATATTACTCAAATATCGATTTGAATTTTTTACCGATTTATTACAAACCTCAAAATACAGGCTGAATGTTACAAGGAACAGGTCAATATGGCCTTAAATATTGGAAATACAGTTGATTGTGATATTTCCTGATAATTAATTAAAATATGAAATGAAGTGTTTTCCATTACATTTCTGATTGTACGCATTTAATTTTACCTGTACAATTTACATTTTTAGCTACAGTGCTTTCCAATGGATAGAGGTATTTAGTGTTATTAGTTTTGTAATTGTCATGGTAACAGACTCAGTGACGCAATTTCTACAGATCATTTTATGTTCAGCAGTGCTTGGTCTGTGTCCTGGATTCAGAGCAGCTATCATGGTAGGTGTATGTTACCATGGTAACAGGATCATTTAAACCATTTGTATATGTTTCATGTTCAACATTTACAATGAATATGATTATTTTTTAAAGATGCTATTTGCGTGATTTCAATACATAATTTTTTCATTCAAGGTTTCTATTTATGCATCAAATGATTAAAGTCACCTTTTAGATTAACATTTTTGATTTGCACAAACTTTTCACACATTATTTTTACATATTTTACCTAATCACCAAAAAAAGCAAGAATGATGCATTTGAGGAATTTATCATGCTTAGTTATTCATACAATATGTTGTTGAAGCTATTGAGACAAAAATATTCTAGGAAAAAACGTTTGTGAGGATTTAAATGTCGTACACATGAAAAGTAATTTGATATTCATCTGTTATCATCGGTTAAACTGGTTTCAGATAGTGTGCATGGCAGACTGAAAAAGGAGGGATCTTTGGCAAAAAATATTTTTTAAATACATATCTCTTGTTAGGGTCCTAGCTGGTTTCAGAAAGAGTGCATGACAAACTAAATACCATACAGGGTCTGAGGCCCAACTTAAGAATTATATTGATTAGGTATCCTAACATCTTTCATACAAACACTGTAATTATTGTGATAAATAGTTGTTATGTTTCTTGGTCTAAGTTTTTTCTTTTATGTGTGAATATGTGTGCTGGGGAGGAAGGGAAGAGGGTAGAAGGCATTTTTATAAAACTCCAGCCTCCCACACGGTATTATTTATTTACAATTTGTATATAAAATTTCTTTGGTTAGATACAACAAACAGCCTTCTAATTTTAAAGGCCCCAATGCCAATTCAACCATTTCTGGAGTATTTTGAAAAGATAATAATGAGCCATGTAAACCATACTTTCTGTTTAAAATCATTATTGGTATTTAGATGAATTCCAAATTAAATTGTAGAATTTTTATGTTTTCATCTATCAGATGTGTTAACAATGTCCAATAACTTTATATTTGCAGATTTTTCCAACATAACTGTGCCTGTGTCGTGTTTGATTCTGTTTATGATGTTCTATATTTTAATCTTTATATTTTCAGCTATATCCAGAAGACAATATACCTGTGTCAGGTGTGCTCCTGTTTATACTGTCATCTTGTATTATAACCTGCATCATCCTGTGTTTCCTCAAAGCCCAGCATCTAAAGCATACTTTTGAAAAGAGATTTATAAAGATGTAAGTCAGATAACTGTTTGTAAGTCAACAGAATGTTTTAACAGCATTGTGAAAGTTAAGCATCTTGTGAACATGGAATTAAATGGTCATATCTGCTTATTTGGCTTGTTTCTGTAAAATTTTGTTTGTCAGTGGAAATGTTTGTTGGAGCAAAAATCAGAAAGATAAATGTTAGAATTAATTTTCTTCACAACTGTTTTGTTCCCCTTTATAGTAGTAGCTGGAAGTATATACTGTAAATTGAGAAATTATTGTGTGCATTTATTATTGCCATTTTTAAAGAATGGACAAAAATGCGAGATTAATTATTGTGATTTTGGGAAAATGCAAGTTCTTATTATTGAAATACCCCCCCCCCCCCCCCCAGTCGCATTATTCACATTAATGAAAACCTCACAATAATTTCTGAATTTACAGTACTAGATTGTTGAAGAAGACCTTTGAGAATTTACATTATTTTAAGGATTGAGGAATTTGGCCCTAAATACACATCCAGATAAAGTAATGACTTTACAGAATTGTTCTGACAAAAAGTACCTTTATTCACTTTTAGAATTGTTCTGACAAAAAGTACCTTTATTCACTTTTATATATATTTATCAGTTTGTTGGTGTTATTTTTAATGAAGGTCTTAAACATTACTACGGTAATCACATGTTTACAGCACTGTTGGTTAAAACTCAAATTAAAAAAATGTTTTGGTCTATTGGTCTATTGGTATTGAGAAAGGGCAAACACTCTGGAGTAAACACAGTAATATTCAAGATATTCTTTTAAATTTTTATCACAGTATTTACATTAAATCATACATCAGTCAAGTTATGGTTGACTTGTAAAACTAATGATCAGAATTTTAAAAAAACATGTAAGAAATCTTCAAAATTCAAATTTTGTTTTTGGTCTTTCTGTTTTCAGAATATTTTTTACATATTTTAAACAAAATAAACTTTTTCTATTATATATGTTAATTTCACTGTTACAAAGCCCATGTAAACTGATGTTGAGTTAAACCACTAAAAATCAATCAATCTGTTATTAATCTTGTTTGATTTATTTGTAGGTCTACAATGTTGGCTGTGGTTTCTATAGTAGCAGTGATCTCAGATATAGCAACGAGAGAAAATCATCAAATGTTTCTAACATTACCATCATTAAAATTAATTTTATGTGCAAATCTTGTCATCAGCATATGTCTTAAGTTACTGGCACTGAGACAGGTTAGAATTTTATCTTTTTATTATTGACTAATTAGATGAAGCAAATTGATATTTCTTCACATAACTTATATGAGAAAATTTATTAGTTGTCTCCCCTTGACTAACTTGCACTTAGTGCATTTTTGATTAGGACAAGTTTTCTTCAATCTTGGCTGCTTGCAGAATTTTTTCCCAGCCTGTATGCAGCAAGGTTTACACTCAAAATAATCATGAAGTGGCATGAAACCAATAAAAATTCTATATTGTATAGCACAAATCAAACTATTGAGTCAGACTGGAGTTTCAACATGAGCTTGTATTAATGAATGGAAATTATTAAGTGACTCCCTATGATTAAACTCTCAGGGGATAGAGCAATTGTAATTCATTCACATTGCAGGTTTAGCTTTTATTCATAACATTTCTTTAAGCTTGTCATAGAATGTTTATTCTAAAGGTGCATATAATTTAACTTATAAAAATGAAAGTAAAAAGATTTGAAATTACATGTCTGATGATGGGGTTGGGATGGGGTTAAGCATATTAATCTTTGATATCTTATTTTCATATAGATTGGTGAACTCCTACCACTTACAGAACCAAAAGATGATAAAGAGGTTCCTTACTTACCAACAATAGGCAACATAGCTACATTTATATCATTTGTAATGATTTGTCTTATGGCTCCAACATCCAGCTTTTACCATGATGTTTGGGTAGGTATATGGATTTATGGTAAAAATAGATATTATGTACATGTATACATTGTTAAGTCACTCAAATCATGTTGTTTTTAGTTTAGACTGCGACTTTTGTCTCGGAAGGTGAGACATAGATGATGCTTTTCCGGCGATGACGATGGCGTCAACAATTGTTAAGTTTTCTTCTTAAGTCAGTTCCATAGGAACTACTTGTGAAAGATCAATGATATCTTCTATAAATTTGCATTACTATCAGTGCATATCAGTTTGAAGACTATTTCGAGTCCCTGCCACATAAAGGTCATGGTTCAGTGAATTTCAATTAATTACCCCTTAAGTTAGTTTGATGGGAACTACTTATGATAGACAATGATATTTTCAATGAAGTTGCATTGCTATCAGTTTTTCTCAGTTTGAAGATCATTTTGACGAGCTGCCCTTTATGTCATGGTCCAGCAACTTTGAATAAATTAGCAATGTTGCTGTCCATCAGATTGTCTTTTTCTGAATTTTCTGATGACAGGCGAGACATATCTTTGTCAACAGTTTATTTTTCTTAGATTCACTCTCCTAAAACAATAAGTTCTTTAATTTTCTTTTTAAATTCCACTTAATTGCATGTTTTGATATTGGTTAGTTCCATTTTTGATCCCTGGGCAGGGACTAAACTGAACTCTTTTTCTACAGGGGCCAGCTGGGCCCCCAAAATATTTTTTTAAAGAGCCCAACCAATTTTTATACTAATAATTTAAACTAAAACTTAAATGTACATTTCATACACTAATTTTTTTTTAAGCCTTTTTATGTAATCCTATATGTAATGTTTGAGTCTGGTTAAGGTTATGTGTGGTAACTTTATAATATTTGAATTATTGCCATCATAATATATCATAAGATTTGACAGTACTGAAATTAGAACATTTCCCGCCAAAATTGTCTCCCTTCAATTTGAACTTCCTGTTGACAATATAGCTGTTTCCATAAAACATTAAATGTTATTTCAAATCCAAGCCATCATCTAATAAGTGTTGATTAAAAATGTTATATAATTACTTTTCATCGAAGATTGGTTAGCATACTAGATATTATTATATTTATTTATGAGATTTTGCGTTTCGTTTTTTCATTGAAGAACAAGTTGTGTTTACTAGTTTTTGTCAAAAACAAACTTGTAATGACTCCCTGAACAACTGGGATGTATCTCTAAAGTAATTCAGATTCAACAGCGTAACGAAAACACTTAAAAAATAATGAATTAATCGTAGAAGCTTTAAAAAAGAAATTAGAAAACGTGTTTTAGAGAAGGGGTATACATGTGTGAAATCATGACTTCGCATCGAAAACTTAGTTGTCCGACTAGGTTTTGGTTATTAAAATGACCTTACTGGTTTCCGAAAAATCCTCTGTTCCATTTTCCCGCTTTAATTAGACAATCAGGTTTCCGTTTGGGAACAGTTTTTGTTTATATCGTGGGGAAAAGGATAGACATGGGATTCAATGCAAAATATTTTCGGTCGCCAGCTGGGCGATCAGGATGATGAATATATTCGCCAAGCGGAAAATCTGGTCGCATTGGGCGACTGGGCGACCGTTAAGTTTAATCCCTGCTGGGGCCAATTTTGATTTTCTTAACCTCTTTCGCTAAATAACTTTTTTATTTGGCACTTCAAAATTTTTTTTCACCAACATATTTTTCATTATGTAGACAAAACAAAATTCAATTAGCAGCAGCATTGTCTCATGGACATTAATCCCACATCTCTATTTCATAATCTGCATTTTGATTATGATCACTAAATTTGAATAATAAATTTCATTTACATTTACAGATGCTATAAAATTACATTTGCAAAGGCAATAAAATCATTAACAATATTAGACTTCTGAGAACACATTAAACTGATACAATGTGTTGTAAGTAAAATAATCCAAGTAACATGAAAACCTTAAAAATATTGTACATACATGTGTTATCTTTAAAAAAAACAATACTTATTCTAGGTTTCTTCTAACTGTCCATCTTTTAAAAGCTCTATTCAAATCAAAAGCATCTAGAGTAGGCCCTTCTAAATATGAAATAGTGTGTCAGTACTATGTCTATATCTCAGCTAAGGTTTTTTGTGGATTTTCTGAGTTCCAATGGTTTAATTTGTATCCAAAACATCAACAGGGTTTGAGTGGGACCTTGATGGCCGAGTGGTCTAAGTAGTCGAACTACTGTATCACTAGTCAGTCAACACCGAGTTTGTGAGTTCGAATCCCACACAAGGCAGGTGCGCTTGACTCTAATCTTAATTGACTAGGATTGTCAGTTTTTCCAACCAAAGGATGTGGTTCTCTCTGCACTCCTGCTTCCTCTACCAGTATAAACCGACCACCTCAAAATACAACAATAGTGCTGAAAGTGGTGTTAAACACCAATCAGTCAATCAACAGGTTTTGATTCATCTTCATTAAGTTTATCAAATATTTCCTGTCTTGTTGAAAGGCTCTGAAAAAACTCAGATAATTTTCTTGTTTTTGTCGGTGTTTCTTCAAAAAACAGCATTCTTTTCAGGCACATCGTCAAATCTAAATATAGTATATAACTTATTGTCATCTTTTTAAATGCCTCTTATTTCTGTTTCAGTGTTGTGGAGCTACCCTTGTGTTAGTTTGTTTACAAAAAGACATGAGAATCTTCAGTAGTTTAAGAGAAGACAACCAAACCACTGCAACAAAAATAACCTCTTTAGCAATTCTTGTGACTGCAACATTATATCGCAGTGACATTTGGAATTATAATTCTTCATGGATGTTTGCACGTGGAGTGACAGAAATAATTCTTGTTTTATTCTCAATACCAAACTGTTATATTTTATGGGGTTTACTTTATGACAATGTTTTACTTTTAAATGAACAGGTTGTAATATTTACTTTACCTTTGAACTTTCCGTTGATTTTGTATTCTAGTAGTTATACAGGGTGGGCATTAGCAGTAGCTGGCATTGTATCGTCAATATGGATGATGTTTGCCAAGTTTGCTCTGCAGCCATATCATGACGATGATTGATTGTCAAGATCAATCAAAACTTTTGTCGTAATTTTGAACAAATCTAAAGCTGAGACAATTTCATGATAGTAGATGATATTTGTCGGTAATACTGTGGATTCATTATTATTCGTGGGATACCAATTTTCATGGATTTCATGCGTATAGGGGAACCACAAATTTAAGTGTCCAAGGAATGACACATTTTCTATAAGGTTGTATGCAGATTTTGGCAAAACCACAAAATAAGATATACAGAAAAATGCAAGTTTTTCTTAATCCAAGAAAATTGCCACCCACGATAATAAATGAATCAATAGTAGATAATGGTTGTCTGTAATACATGCATTTTAAGACTGAGATAGAATATTTATTGGGCTTCAAGATCTGCACATGTAGAAAACATTAAAATCATGATATAACAAAAAAATATTTAAGTTTTCTGTACATGTATTTCTGTATTGAGTTTATTCAGGTATACAATGAAATAAGTTTTAAAATTCAAAAACACAGCATATATTTTCATAAGAAAACCAAAACTTTCAAATCCATGTTATTTGGTACTATTTTCTGTTAATTATCATCAGAAATTATTGCAAATAAGCTAATGCAGAATTTTGGCTGCTGACTCAAAAACACTAAATTACAAAACCAAATAGTTCTAATTCAAAGTATTGAAGATTAAAAAAGAAAACAAGTTGATGTTACCTTGCAACAAACTTTCTTACGACAGCATTTCCAAACATGAGGAAAGTAATGTTAAATTATTTTTCGGTCACATTTTCAAAATGTAAAAAGGAAGCTGTATGCTAAGTCATTCAGCTTTGTCATCATATTCAGGATTTATGATTTTAATATTTATAAGTTTTTTTTTCTAAATTCTTACATTTTGCAATAGAATTATCAATATTGATGCCTATTATGATGATGGTAAAAGATGACAATACAACAAAATGTTTTTGTATTTTATGAATGTCTGAATGTCATCCTTTGTTTATTATAGTAATAAAGATTATTTTGAAGGAATAAATTGATGTGTTAACTCAACTAGAAAAACTCATCAAAGTTACCAGGCTTATAATTTTGTATGCCAGATGTGTGTTTCGTGTACAAAAAACTCATCAGTGACGCCTGAATCTAAAAAGATAAGCTAATTTATTCACAAACAAAATACATTTGTACAACCAGAAGGACTTAAGGTTAAGCTTTTGGGTTAAACACTAATAGAGAACACATCAATGATATCTGTAAAAATAAATTTTACTACTTATAATTCCTATATAATGCTTGAAGAGATTTATAGTACTCTAATAATTAATTGATATTTATTGAACCATTTTGTCTGCATAGAAGTTTCTACAATGTTATGAAATGTTTGAATTTCCAGTCTTTTTTTATGTTGACCAATGAAATGCAAGCTTGCATTCAACATTGGAATTATTATGTTTTGATCATGAAAAGTTTTGCTTTATTTTAGTTACATATAGTGTACCATATGGAAAATGATTGTATGATTGATTGACGAGTGCTAATGTTCAGCAGCATGTTATACATGCCTTTTCATACTGATTTTACCCTTATATCAAGTGTAATATGATATTTCTCAACTCCAGACAGTTCAGTTTTCAAATTTAGAACACAAGGCTTGCTGGGCGTTTTAAAATTTAAAATTTAACTGTGGATAAATATCAAATTGCATGACTTTCAGTGGTGGAATCTGTTTCTCTCCTGGTATTTTAGACAATATGTAGACATTCATCATCCTGCTTTTTCAATGATCCTCAAAAAGATGGGTGCTTTTTATGTGATGTCATCAGGCATAATTACCTTTTTGGTGATAGCACAATCACAAAACTAATTTAAGAGGAAAGCAAGAACATTTTACGACATAATCAAACTTTGACCAATGAAAGATTAAGATCAAACTAACCACAGGTTGAATATATAAAAATATTCAAATTGTTGGGAAAAGTATAAATTGACTATGGATTAGAGAAAGGACAATAACAGGTCATATGAATATATGTTAATTTGTATTAAACCTACACACTTAGCCAAACAAAAAAATATACTAAATACAAGTTAATTCCATCTTTATCAGAATCATTAGAAATGCTGAGTCTGCATCGTGGTCATTTGAATGGTCAGAAATGGTAGAGATTCCTTAATGTTGAAGATCATGTTTAAGAGAAAGAAGTCATTAAATCCTTCTGTGTATTTTTAAGCATCTATGTGAACCAGGATTAAATAATCTGTGTTACTTTAATAGAAATTTAAATATATTTACAAAAATGGTACTGAAACGTACCTGTGAGTTATGTCCCTTAGCCTAGGTCTACCATCTGAAATTAATTTACTTAATTTAATATGATTTTTTTGCAAGAAGATATTCAATATCAGAACAACTTACAACAATGCTTTTTTATTCAATTTGGTGCGTATAACTTATTTATTTTGTTTTTTATAGGTATTTGGTGCATACATAAGTGCTTCTTAATGTTTTATCTTGAAAATTATGTCTCATTGATGTGATCTGTATCACTTGAATAATAAATACTCCTATTAACATATTACATTTCCCTTAGGAAATTAGACCTATATTAAACTCTTGTAAAAAAAGACTTGATTTCAATACTAAGCCATGCTAATAACATCTTTAATCCAAATTTGTTAGCATCAATTGTTTTGGGTAAAGATTGCATCAAATGCAATTAAAAGATTTGATATCTATATCTTCCAAGGTTTATCCTTTCCTTTGATAGTTCAAACAAAATAGTGCAGTGAAGTGATAGTTCTTTAGAACCTATCAGGTCTACATCATGCAATTTATTTAAATGATATGTTACATTTAGATATTCAAGTTACAATATGAGGTGTATTTGTTTTACCATACTTGTCAAGAAAACTTTTTTTTATTTAAAATTAAAAAAAGTAATGCATTATTGTGTATGAATCTGTTAAAAAATAGGTTCAACTACAAATCAGTAGATCATCGATGTGTTCTCTTCTTTTCCATCCTGCCCATTATTGCTTGACAATATCAGAATTATGTTATTCTCTTTTAAAAAGTGTGTAATATTTGCTACTGTGCAAAAATAAATAAAATGACATACAATAAATTACAATAAAAACTTAATCCCTTCGCAGTATTGAAATAAAATAAAATTTTAATATAATCATTAATAGATTTCTTTTTTCATATTAACTTCTGATGTCCAACTTTCACATTAAATTTTAATGTTCTATTTCTATATCAATATTCACTAGAAATCATTTGTACACATTTATAACTGTACTATAAAATAAATACTGAAAATAATATATATTAAGTAATATGATATGCATGTGACCAGTTATTTAGGAGATTAAGATAAACAAACCCAGCATGATACATGGTCTCGGGTAATTGGCATTGACATGGTGCCTGATAAGACCACAGCTACAAAGTAGCTGTAGATACGGGCTTATGTCTTAGACTGAAATATACAATCATTAACAAGAGAAGATATCTCCAACTCAAATTGCTAAACACAATTCAATGTTTTATTTAAAATGCACGAAATTGCAAAATGAAAGCAATCTTAACCCTTCAGTGCTCACAAGCATTTTGATTATTTAATAACATAAGCATGGAATGGAATGCCAAATTAACTTAATATGTAGAGGCATGCTAGAAACATAAAATAACAGCATGTCTGGATATGAACATGCTGACATAATACTCATCAAAATTTAATGAAATTTATGTCAAAGGTTTCAAATCAGCAATATCTTAAATGAATGAATTTGAAAAATCAGCATGGAGTGACTTCTTTAATGCAAATTATGCCCCTGTAAATCATAGTGATCATGATCTGCTCTGTAAGTATCTTGTTCCATCATATATTTTTAAAGACAAAGAAATGCCAAATCGAATATCTTTTTAAATACTAAAATGACATGATAATTTCCTTATCTCCTGTGCATTATACTTAATAGAAATGTGTAATACTGTAATTTCAGGATTTTCTGGATTGGATCAGAAAATTTGATAGGAGTTAAGATAATTTATGCATTATATTCTTACTAACTGGTACCTTGTTTGTTGACATCTTCATATTTCACCAAGGTTATTCACTGTTCTAGTTTGTATTACATGTTGAAAATGTGTAAAGGTTAATATCAATAAAGCGTATGATGCCATGACAGTTGTTTTGATTTTTATTCAGTAAAGATTGCATTTCGCAATCAAAGCCCTAATTTTACTGGATTGATTGCTATATCTTTGAAGCCTCTCCTCTAACTTTGAGAGTTTAAACAACATATTGCAGTGAGGTGAACATGATTTAGATCATATTAATGCCCATGTCAATCAATTTATCAATTAAAATATGAGATTCAATTAACAAAATGATGTGCATGTGTTTAACCGTACTTGTCTAGAAAACTATTTTAACCGTGCTTCTCTTCTCTTCTCTCATAATTGCTTCTATATATATATAAATATATATGAAGCCGACCTTATAGAGGAACTTCTCAAAAATAATGAAAAGAATCATCTATCTGTATTCTTTAATTTCACATTTCACTATACAGTTAATGTCCTCTCAATCATCTAACATCAACCCAATCATCTAACGTCAAATTTTGTATACCAGAGACACAATTAGTTTTGCTATATGTTTTGACTAACATCTTGAAATAAATTGATAATGAGGCTCGCTTTAGAACTAACTTTTAGAATGAAACTGACGAGTTCAACTTTGAAATTGTAAAATTTACATTTTTTTAGTAGTAACATTCTAGCAGCGCCTGAATATGAACTACACGTCTGCCAGTTGATAATTTATTCCAGATCTTGTGTTTTGTTTACCATCATAATTTTACTCGGTAGAAGGTTGCCAAGGGTTTCAAGTGGAGAAGTTGAAAGTCATTACTTTAAGAGTTTTACTGATGCCATCACGCGTTGGTTGACTGTTATGGAATATCTGTGTCAAAGATGACCAAGAAAATGTCCCAATTGTCTAAACAACAAGCCCAACCTCTTTTCTTTGATTACGTTACCACCGAATGAGAGTTATAACCGAATTGTTTTTACTATAAGCAACATGACAGATGTCACTAATGAAGAAGGAAATGATAACCCTTCCGAAACACATTATATCAACCCCTGTTTTTTTTATAATTACATGCCTACCACACTTTATCAATTGAATTATTAGTATCTTCGAAAAAGTTGAAAGAAGCCACATTTCAGAAATTAGTGTTGTATTTGACCATTAGTGACCTGATTTTGGCCGAGTCGCTTGTCGTTTTCATATTACAAGAATCCAATGACAAAAATGAATTCCTTGTTTGTGAATTTTTGTTAGATATGGTTGTGGGTCCTTCGTATTTTCGTCGTTCCAATGTTTGTGAATTTGCTTTGAACGTCTGAATTCTACGTTCGACTCAAAGAGAGCATTCTAAGGAAACTTCACTCAAATAAAGGAATAGAAATATCGTATATTTAGCCATATTCCAGGTGGCTATTGTTTAGACAAAAAATGTAAGTATACTTTTTTTCTTTTCTATGATGTAAAAATAATGCTGATCAATTTTCTAATTGTAGTTGTCTACATTTTCGTCATTTTACGCATCGTTAAACAATGGAAGACCTCTGTCACTCTGTGTAGCTACGGAGAGCAACAACACTGACAATGATTACTGTCATATGCCTCATGGTAAACATACCGAAAACTGTTGTTGCGGTTTATTCTGTCTGGTCAAATCCTTCATTCAGTTGAATCTAATTTGCAATGAATCAGCTGTATTTAAAATGTTATGTGATCCATTTATTTATGTAATCTGCAAAAAAGACTTAAGGGATCAAATGAAGGAAGTTTTTGGTCTTGAAGTATAGATTGTAGATACTGACGTTGTTTATCATCTTATTTACGTATTATAGTGTTCTTTAATTTGTCTCTAGATTATTAACCTTTACTGTTTAGTCCATTTTTGGTAATATCCTTTTGGCGTGGCTCGGTACTTATACATCCCGCCATTGTGTTATAGTGCTATGGTCATTTTTGTATTCTTGTCTTTCATTTTTGCTTATGTGCTTTGCCTATATGCCATTTGTTTTTCTTTGTTGACATATTTGTTTGCTTTTGTAGTGATTAAGTTTATAACACAATGTTGACTGCTGTACCCCTATTTTAGACATTTTTAGCTATTGTGTCTGCTTGTTTTGTTCACACATTGTTGTCAATATAATGGAATTTTCTGCGACTCATACAAGTGAGAGGTTTAGCTAGCTATAAAACCAGGTTTAACCCACCATTTTCTACATAAGGAAATGCCTGTACCAGGTCAGGAATATGACAGTTGTTTTCCATTCGTTTGATATGTTTGAGCTTTTGATTTTGCCATTTGATAAAGGACTTTCTGTTTTGAATTTTCCTTGGAGTTCGGTATTTTTGTTATTTCACTTTTTTTGTAAATTTCAAACAAACCCCTTTTTCTATGTATACAACATTAAATGAAAGGCTAAAAACCAATTTCTCCTGTGCCTTGATACACTGACAGCATCCTATTTCTAAATAGAACATAGGTATTTTTGTACCTCTCTAAACACGCAACCTCTCTTGTTTGGATGGTGTTTCTAATTGTTATCAAAATAAAAACAATTCTATAAACGAAATCTCTTTCAAAATAAAAATAAAAAATAAAAATAAAATAAATAAATATAAAGCAAAGCAAATAAAAGAAACACAAATAAAAGACACTCCGTGGGTCTGTTTCAGATCCAAGGATGAGTTTTGGCTGTTAAAGGATGCTTCTAGATTTTTCATATAAAAATGTATCAATGTTAGCCAATATGAAATGACTACAACTTGAATATATTATATTTATCTAATAAAAAAAACCTCATCAAAAATAGTCTTTTAATTCAAAACAGTTAGAAGTCAAAAAACGAAATTGAAGAGCATTGTAAACCAACAAAAAACAAATAAGAGAGAAAAGCATTCAACTCTTGTAGGCAATCTATGCCTGGGATATATTTCATCAACAGTAAATTGAAAAAAAGCGCAATTTTTTTAATATTCAGATATTCAGATATCACTAGATTGTCAACTTCGAAGTTGTGAGTTTAAAACCCAATTATGGCGAGTTGTGATCATTTATAATCGACACAGGATTGCCAGTTTCTCTGCAAAAGTTTGATGGTTTTCTTCGGATACTCCATAACACACAGTGGCTTCCTTGATAGGATCGCTTATAGGGGCGTTAAACATTGGTATTTGATTTAATGTGTAATCTTTGTATTAGTGTGTCCTTGTTTGAGAATTTATCCACTTATGAAACAGATTCACGAATCGTATTCATAAAGAAGAATTACAGGTTTGATGAATACCCATCGACTTAATTAATCAGCTACACAGAATGCGACTAATCACCGACTTTACTTTTTCCAGTGAGCAACACGACGATTGTCAAGATCTGATGACACTCCAAAAACATCACTTGATATCATTCCCGATAATCGATGGGGTTGGTGTAATTCACTCTTTAGTTTTCTATGACGTGAATATACATGGTAAAAGTGATAATGACACAAATCATGATAGTAATTAAAACAAATTTACAAAATAATGAGAGCAATGACCAAAAACGAAAATGACCAAAAGACAAACAACAGTATACAAAACACACAAAAAAAAAACCTAAAACCTGACGTTGGCTTATGACGTCATGGTTTTCTTCTCAGTGGAATAGGATGGAAAATTATCATACACATAGATCAAAGCAAAATTTAAGAAAATAGTGATAATAATGAATCTCCTTATATATTTGTTGAAAGTTGTAAAAGAGAGACGAAAGATACCAGAGGGACATTCATACTCATAAGTCGAAAATAAACTGACAACGCCATGGCTAAAAAAGAAAAAAGACCAACAGACAAACAATAGTACACAAAATACAACATAGAAAACCAAAGACCGAGCAACACGAACCCCACCAAAAACTGGGGGTGATCTCAGATGCTCCGGAAGTGTAAGCAGATCATGCTCCACATGTGGCACCAATCGTGTTGCTCATGTTAGTACAAATCCGGTAATAAGTCTAATTCGGTAGGTCACATTCGGGAAACGGGGGGACGGGATTGTGGTTACGACATTAGAAACATAACCGCTATCATCTGTGAAACGGGTATTCCATAACGGTCAACCAACTCGTGATTGCGTCCGTAAAAAATTGAAAACAACACGTTTAATAATTTCATGCGTAAAACTTACGAAGGGATGATTTCAACTTCATCACTTGGGACTCTTGGTCTAATAGCTTCCCTGTGAGCAGCAACCTTCTATCAAGGAAATCATGAATCATGTTTGTAAACCACTGCAAATCATTTCGTTTCATTGCTTAATGTTTGCATATTTTTTGCTTTCGAGTATTAAAAGGAAAAAAATATAAAATGATAGTTTTCGAGCAGAAACGATATAAATATGATTTCTGTATAAATTGGATACTTATTTGAAATATGAATATCTAAGTAACTTCATTTAAACATGCTCAAGAAAATATTCATATTATCATTCATCAAAAGTTTGAAATGAGAAGGAGATTCATTATTATCACTATTTTCTTAAATTTTGCTTTGATCTATGTGTATGATAATTTTCCATCCTATTCCACTGAGAAGAAAACCATGACGTCATAAGCCAACGTCAGGTTTTAGGTTTTTTTTTTGTGTGTTTTGTATACTGTTGTTTGTCTTTTGGTCATTTTCGTTTTTGGTCATTGCTCTCATTATTTTGTAAATTTGTTTTAATTACTATCATGATTTGTGTCATTATCACTTTTACCATGTATATTCACGTCATAGAAAACTAAAGAGTGAATTACACCAACCCCATCGATTATCGGGAATGATATCAAGTGATGTTTTTGGAGTGTCATCAGATCTTGACAATCGTCGTGTTGCTCACTGGAAAAAGTAAAGTCGGTGATTAGTCGCATTCTGTGTAGCTGATTAATTAAGTCGATGGGTATTCATCAAACCTGTAATTCTTCTTTATGAATACGATTCGTGAATCTGTTTCATAAGTGGATAAATTCTCAAACAAGGACACACTAATACAAAGATTACACATTAAATCAAATACCAATGTTTAACGCCCCTATAAGCGATCCTATCAAGGAAGCCACTGTGTGCTATGGAG